CTTATTCTTATTATTATTATTATAATTGTTAGTATATATTATTATTACTATTATTACTATTATTATTAGTATTGCTATAATTATTATTATTATTATTATTATTATTATTATTATTTTAATATTATTACATTTTATTATTATAATTATTTATTATTATTTATTATAATATTGTAGCTATTACTATTATAATTATTATTATTATTACTATCATTATAATTATTGTAATTATTATTATTATTATTTAGTGTTTTCCTCTTGTCCTATTGTGACAGTCTTAAGCGAATCCAGATCTCTACCCGAGATCAAAGCGATTCACCCTAATACCTTGCGGATAATGTGAGCAGTGCCCAGTGTGCTATTTTCTGCACTTCAGCAACAGATGGTTTTCCTGGTAGTTGTGAGAGGTTGGTCTGTAACCCCTTTCTAAGGGTCCCTAGGGCTCCTACAATGACTGGAACTGTTCGGGTCTTAACGTTCCACATTCTGCTTACCTCTATTTCCAGGTCTTTATACTTGCTTAACTTTTCTGCTTCCTTCAGCATTACGTTCGAATCGTTAGGAACCGCTACATCTACTAGTAAGCAGGTTTTTGTTCTTTTATCATGATACACTATGTCCGGGCGGTTCGCAAGTATGGTTCTATCAGTGATAATGGGAACATCCCACATGATTCGAACATCCCCATTGTTTACAACTTTATTATTTTCTGGAGTGTGCTCATAATATTTATCGCAGACCTCTATACCAGCCCCTTTGCTCATTAGCCAGTGTAGATACCTTGCTACGTTGTTGTGCCTTTTTGTGTATTCAGTAGGTGCGAGTGTGGTACATCCAGCCACGATGTGGCTTATGTGCTCCTCTGCTTGATTGCACATCCTGCACTTACTGTCCACTTCGCAACCAAGTATGCGCTTTTGGTGATAGCGTGTGTTGAGGGCTTGGTCCTGAGCAGCAATCAAGAGGCTTTCTGTTCCGCCCTTCAGACCAGAACTACGGAGCCATGCATTATTATATTATTATTATTATTATTATTATTATTATAATTATTGTTATTATTATTATTTTTATTGTAATTATTGTATTATTATTATTATCATTATTATTATTATTATTAGTATAAATAATTATATATTATTATAATCATTATTATTTTTATTATTATTATTATTATATTATTATTATTATTATTATAATTATATTATAATTATATTATATTATATATCTATTATATTTATAATTATTATTTATTATATTATTATTTTTTTATTTATTTTTTATTTTATATTATCGCATACTACGAGTAGTTACGCACATTCCTCCAGTTCAGCGCCGGTAGCAAAAACCAGCTGTTCGAGCGCCAGCGATCTAAACCACAGATGAAATAAAGGAGACCACACCACCTAAAATGTTGAGTGACACCCAAGTGATTGGGAACAGCAATTTGTCAAATGAAGTGCGACAGGCGAGTACTAATACGCAAAGTACACTTAACTCTCAAAGTAAATCTGAGAGGAGGAGGCGTTCTGGAAACTTACTAGTCGGCAAATTGACCAGTGATAGTGCATGCCCCCTGAAAGCAGCAAATTCAGCTCAACAAAACCGTCAGTACCAGTACCACGTCACAAAATTGGATACAAGACTGAAATGCAGGCTTTAGCCAATTACCTGAAGGGCTTTGCTGCATCAGTACAGGTCGAGGAGCTGAATGCCAGGTATCCAGAAAGTTACAAATCATTCAAGGTGACATTATTAGCTACCGAAGCGGACAATATACTAAAGAGCGACATATGGCCGGATGGGGTAATAATCAACCGATTTTTTCGCTCTAGAAGGAGATCAAACACGTCAGCGGGTCAACAACGCCCAATGCCTACGAACCCTTCACATCAATGTACAGGGCTTGCCAAGCAAGATTGATGATCTCAATTTGTGGTTAAATGATAATCCTGTAGATGTATTATGCATTTCTGAACATTGGCTTAGTGATGATCATTTGGCAATGGTAAACCTAAACCAATATTCTCTTATATCCTTTTACTGTCGCCCTCCAAGATTACATGGTGGTGTTGCTATATTTGCACGAATGAATCAGCAAATTAAACCCTTGGATTTAAATAATGTTTGTGTTCCATTCCATGCTGAATTTTGTGGGGCAACAATTGGTAATATTGCTATTATAACTGTTTATAGATCTCCTTGTTTAGGAAATCCTTCATTATTTATTGATGCCTTCAATAGTTTACTGAATAGTATTTATTCTAGACATAAGAACTTATTGATACTTGGCGACTTTAATTTAGATTTCAGCAGTAATGTTCAAACAGTGACACACCTATGTAATATTTCAAATTCATTTGGCTTACGTCAATGTATTTATGAAAATACCAGAGTTACACCTACTTCGGCGTCTTGTTTGGATAATATATTGACCAACTTGAACAATGATAATATTGAGACAGGGACAATAGATTTGAACATTTCCGACCACTTAGGAATTTTTTGTGATTTTTTATATTACAAGATGAGATTCATTCAATCAAACCGCCCAAAAGACGCATTATTACAAAAAAAGAATGGTTTCATTTGCCAACAGAATCCATAGTATGGCGTCCGACATGAATGTAGATTCTAACTCTGCAGATAACATGGCAAATAGTATCTACCGTTTAATATCAAACTGTATCGATAATTGTTTTCCGTTAAAAGCTGTGGATAAGTCAGCTCACAACGTTAAGTGGTATACGCAGACACTGAAGCAGCTAAGGAAAGATATGGTGAACGCAAAGAGCCAGTTTTCGCATAGCGGGGATGAGCGTGATTGGGAGAGGTATAAGGATATACGTAGAATATACCGTCAAAAATTGAAATTGGAAAAAAGGAACTTTTACTCTGAAATGATACACCAGGCGGAAAATAAAACTAAAGCAATCTGGAAGATAGTCGATAGCGAGAAAGGCATCAGGAAACAGAAACACACAAACGTCTCAAGTGATGAATTCAATAGTTTTTTCAGTACTATTTCTTGTAAAATTCTTGAGGGCATTGAAAAGCCTACTATTAAGTACTTGTATCTCCTCAACCGTACTCCCAAGACACCGCATTCGTTCTTCATGTCTGCGATACTCCAAACAGATGTGAGATGTGCTATAGCTCAACTAAAAAACTCACCCTCACTCGACTTCTATGGTATGAACAGTGCTATGTTGAAAACAGCCAGTGAGGATTTCATTGAACCTTTACTATTTAATAAGTGTGTTAATGAAGGCGTATGGCCTGATGCTTTTAAATTGTCAAAGGTCATTCCCATTCATAAGAAAGGGAATGAAGATAATCTCGATAACTATAGGCCAATCACAATAATTCCATTAATAAGTAAATTATTCGAAATTGTAATCAAAGAAAAATTAATAAAGTACTTGAAAAGCACTCCCTCCTTTCAGATTCCCAATTTGGTTTTCGAAAGCACTGTTCAACCATTAAAGCCATTCTTAGTTTTCTTGAGGATGCATTAGTGCATTGACAAGAGAACCACCGCTCTAGCAACTATGTGTGACTTAACCAAGGCTTTTGACTGTGTAGACGCAGTTATACTGCTTGACAAATTGGAGTACTATGGGATCCGTGGCAAGCCATCACAGCTTATGAGATCATACTTAGCTAATAGGAGACAGATGGTTAGCCTTGATGGAGTAGAATCCCAGGTTCTACCGATTACGAACGGGGTACCCCAGGGCTCTGTCTTGGGCCCTCTATTATTTTTAATCTACATCAATGACCTCCCACAAAATGTCAACAATAGCAAATGCTACCTTTTTGCAGACGACACTACTCTGCTCTCCAAGGCTACCCAACTTGACGAGGCCCACAGTCTCGACCAGGTTAAGTGGTGGTTCTCCGCAAACAAGCTCAAACTTAATGAAGCGAAAACCAGCAAGCTAAGAATAACAAGACAAATGGAATGAGACTTCATCATCCGTAAAGTTATTAGGGATCGTTGTGGATAGCCGCTTGACCTGGTCGGAGCATGTGGACCAGGTTTGTACCAAGATTTCCAGACAGATGTTTATCATGCGGCAACTGGCTCAGTGTTTGCACAGACAAACCAGGAGAACTGTATACTTTAGCCTCATTCATAGTCATCTGTCGTATGGTATCATCCTCTGGGGTAATTCTGTCAATGCCCAAAAAGCATTTACAATGCAAAAGGCTGCTATACGGATTGTAGCTGGCGTCTCCTACGATCATACGTGCCGCGGTTTGTTCAAAGAGATGCGCATACTGCCGTTAGCATGCCTGCTCATACATGAGACCCTTTTACATGTTCACGCAAACCTGAGTACTTTTTCGATAAGATCAGAGACACACAGCTATAATACAAGATACGCTAATGATATATCATTACCGCAATCTAGGATCGCCATGACACAACACAACAAGATTAATGTGTCGCTTTACAATAACTTTGTTAGATATCATAAGCGGTCCAATATTGAGAAGATGTCTAACAAACAGTTCTCTAGGTTTGTCAAAAACTATTTGTTAAGAAACTGCTGCTATACTGTAAGTGAATATTTAAGTGCATGTGATCCTAGTGATCAGTGATCGTGTGTAGAGCAAGAAGACAGACTCTGTATAAACTTTATCTAGTTTGTGACTTCAAACATATATCTCTATGTATAGGTGGTCAATAAATCGTATGGTATGGTATGGTATGGTATGGTATTGCTATTATTATTATTATTATCATTATTATTATAATTATTATTATTATTATAATTATTGTTTTATTACTATTATATTATTATTATTATTATTATTATTATTATTATTTATTATTATTATATTATTATTATAATTATTATTTAATTATTATATTTATTATTATTATTTTTTTTTTTTTTTTTTTTGCCGTAGGGCTTTGTTACTCCCGTTAATCGGGGTGTTCTGGCTTAACCCGGACGCTTCAAGCATCAAAGGGGTAAGCCTCAATAGTGACCTCCCTAGGTACTTGCATTTCCCATAAATTTTCTTACTATGCGGGCAGTTGCCAGCAAAACTCCTTTCTGTATGATTTTGTAAATGTTTTCACTCAGTTCCAGCGCTTTGATGTTTTCTAGCAGCCTTCTTGGTATCACCCCTGTAGATGACATTATTATTGGTATTGTTTCCACGTACTTCATTTTCCACTGGCGTTTAATTTGAAATTCTAGCTCCCTGTATTTTGCAACTTTCTCATTATGTTTGTATGTTAAATTGTTACTATTAGGTATGGCCACATCAATCAGTGTTACTTTCTGGGCGTCCTTGTCGACAATGATTATGTCAGGTCTGTTTTGTTTTATGTATTGGTCCGTAAGCACAGTGCGATCCCAGTATAGTTTATACTTGTCGTTCTCGAGGACACATTGCGGTGTATATTTGTAGTACTGTAGCTTGCATTCGATCAGTTTGAATTTGTATGCCAACTCCTGGTGAATGATTTTGGCAGCTATGTCGTGGCGCTCCTTATAGTCCGTTGGAGCGAATGCTTGGCATCCACCAGTTACGTGCTGTATTGTTTCGGAGTCCTGACAGCCGTACCTGCATTTATCAGACTGTTGCAAGTTCTTAAGTATGAACCTCTTGTAATTGTTGGTAGGAATGACCTGGTCCTGTATAGCTACAAGGAATCCCTCAGTCTCAGGGAACATTTGGCCTGAGGTAAGCCAATAGTTTGACGCTTTCTTGTCAACGTTTTCTTGGCTAATCTCGTTGGCATGTCTCCCATGTAGAGGTTTTTCAATCCATCGTTGTAGCTTCTGTTCGTTGGTTTGGTGACTCGGTTGGTCATCTCGTCTACTAAGGTGTAAGGGCGTTGTGTCATCTATTGAGCATATGATGCGATGCAGCTCAGAGATCTCGGCCTTCTCAAAGAAGTAGGATCGCAAGGCGAGTACCTGTTGAGCTAGCTGCTTGCTGATGTCCATTAGACCTCTTCCTCCTAACTGTCGGGGTAAGGTTGTGCGCTCTATTGCACTGCGAGGATGGTGCGCTCCTTTTTTTGTTAGCATAGTCCTTACCCGCCTCTCTAGTTTCTCGATGTCAGTTTTACTCCACAGAACTATACCGAACGAGTAGTTCAAGGCAGAGCATGCGTAGGTGTTAATCGCCTTGACTAGATTCTTACTATTGAGTTCTGTTTTCAGAAGTAGCCGTATTCTTTTTGTGAAGGTCTGCGATATAGCTTCCTTCATTTTTTTATGGTCTATCCTTCGGGCCTGCGCCATTCCAAGGTACTTGTATGTGTCATTTGCGTCCATTGCGTCAATGTTTTGGCCTCTGCAGCTTGAAAATCCTCCAGGGTAGATGTTCCCCCTACGTATAGATAAGGTTTTGCATTTATCCATCCCAAATCGCATACTTATGTCATCTGAGAACTGACCGACTATCTCTAGCAGCTGTTTCATTTGATTCTCAGTAGCAGCTATTACCTTTAGGTCGTCCATATACAGCAAGTGGTTCAGTTTTATGGATGCGTTCCTGTTATCTTTCAGACTATATCCATACCCTGTTGCATTTAAGAGGTTTGAGAGGGGATTTATAGCTAGGCAAAACCATAGGGGACTTAATGAATCACCCTGAAAGAGACCTCTTCGGATAGAGATCGTCTCAGTTTGAATGGTGCTGGTCCCGTTTGTATGCAGTGTTATTCTGGTTCTCCAGGTCTTCAGCATATGTTCTAATAGGGCCACTACATGCTCATCTACCTTATAGAGCCTCAGCACCCTGACAAGCCACTCATGAGGTACAGAATCGTATGCCTTCTGATAGTCGATGTACGTAATGTATAGGTTCCTTTTGTTGGTATAGGCTTGGTTACAGATGAATCGATAGCCAGCTGTTCTTTGCATCCCATAGCTCCCTTAGCACAGCCTTTTTGTTGTGGCGCAATAATATCGTTTTCTTCACAATGAGCATAAATTCGCTTCGATATACAAGCAGTGACCACCTTGTATAGCGTAGGAAGGCAGGTAATTGGGCGGTATTTTGCTGGGTCTTCTGTATTATTGTGATCTTTTGGTATTAATACCGTTAGCCCTTGTGTTAGGAACGTTGGAGTCTTATTTGGATTCAAAAGCATGTCATTGATATATCTTGTTAGTTGTTCATGCATGCACCAAAGCTTCTTTATCCAGTAGCCATGAATCTGGTCTGGGCCCGGGGCCTTCCAATTATGCAACTGCTTAACGATATCCACGATTTCTTGTTTGGTATATGCCCTATACTGCATGGGATTGCAATAATGGCTCTTCGCTTCTTCATCTGTAATCCATCCTGCACACTTGTTGTAATAAGCTGTCGAGCCAAACTGCTTGCCCCAAAATTCCTCTACTTGGTCCTTTGTGGGCACCGTTTTGCTCTTTTCCTGGGGTTCGGATGACAGTTTCCTGTAGAATGCCTTTTCGGATCGTTGAAAGAGCGCATTGTCGTGCTTTCTGTGACTGGACGCTTTATACCTTTTCAATCGCTGAGTATATACGGACAGTTTTTGCTTCAAGGTATCAAGGCATTGCCACTCGTTGATGTTAGTTGCGTCTTGGTGAGAATGATGGTGGAGTCGTTGCATTATTTCCATAGCTTGCTTTCGGACTTTTCGAGTTGTTATTCCTCGTGTGAATTGGGTAAGACGTCCGATATCTCTGCGAATTTCTGCCGTTCTTCTTTCCAGACGTTTTTCCCATTTTGGTGTTATTGGTTTTACTGAATTTTCAGTAATCTTTTGAGTTGGCATTTTGACACCAAGTGTTCTTACTGTTGCAACAGCTGCACAGTATATCAGTGTGTGAAGTTGTTCTATACAGTTGGAGTGTGCTAGATACTCTGGCAGGATCTGTTTATTTAACTGACACAATACCACAGCAAGCTTTCTAGATGACTTCAACTTTGGTAATGGTGGTCTTTCTAGCGGGTTCGTTCCATCAAATTCGGCATATGCTCTACCCATTTCAGTTATTAATATACCAAATATTTCTGTGTCTTGATCATTACTGTCGTCAACTCCAGGCTGTTCACTTTCTATCTGTTCTTGCTCAGATTGACCATTATCGCGTATTTCGTTATTACTCCCTTCTTGTTGCATAAGATCAAGCTGCACTTCCTGTTTGATGGCATTCAGCCGTGGTTGTGGGATAAGATTATTTTTGATTATCACTCGATATTGGTCTGCCACTCTCTGCTGAGATACTTTGATCTCCGGATATTCACTACAGAAAGCGGTATGAAGTCGTGGTCTGTAGCCGATTGTTTCTCTACCTAGGTTGGTAACTTTGTAGAAGATTCGCATGATTGACTCATTCATGGACACCGTCCACTTTATACGTCTTCTAGGGAGACCTGCTTGAGTGAGCACTGGCTGAGATTCCTGTGCAGCACTTTCGGCAGCGGTGGCACTAGTTGTTGTTTGGCTACCACTTTGTTGGGGGGCTGTTGCTTCTTGGACGACAGGGGCCCGCCTCCTCAGCACCCTGCCACCGACGTCCCGCATGCTGTCATATCCAGCGCCGGCTCCAGATATGCCCTGACGATCACCCTCAGGCAGCGACCTTTTTCCGAGGCTATATTCAAAATTCATCTCCATAAAGAAATTATGGGTGTGGCTCTTTTTATACGACTCCATCTAGGAGCCGATATGTACACATTCTGCACATGATATGTTTTCCTGCACCAGGAGGAAGAGACACAAAAACCCCTGGCACACACTGGAGGATCGCTGGCTGTACCGTCTATCCTTGTTGTTGCTACGGTAGCGGGTTTGACACTGCTGGA